CGTCTCTCAATCTGCCTCAAGTCCCCGCCCCCGCCTCAATCTGTAATGTGGGGATAATATTACTGCTTAGTGCTTACAGCACTTGAAGTTGCTGTGTGTGACCTAATGTGATCCACTAGTTTGAAACCACCCTTCCCACCATCATCAGTAACATGTAGATAATAATACTAGCTTGAGGTTGTTATGAAGGCAGCAAAAGATAGTAGCTGAGATAAGTGTGGAACATTTACTGATCAGGCAGGGTTCTTTTTCACCCGTGATGAAGTATGTTTGGTTTTTATCATTTATATTCTGAGCAAGCACCTGTTCTGATAAGTTAATTATGACTCTGGTTCCATTTGTTTTTGGTAATGCCCAATTCAATTTCCCACAAAAATTAGCATGTTGGGGAAATGGCTAGGTTTCTTCTCCTGGACATCTTTGTGTAAGAATTATATTTTTTTAGTTGTATGAAGGAGTACTCAATTGCATGAGTCGCCACCTGAAGTCTTAAGTGGTAAAGTCGGATCACTTATTCTATTGTTTGCAAGAATTAGGCTGTTAGATGCTTCAGGTCTGTCCATCCCACGCCCCTGGTAACATGTTTAAACCATGTCTTTGACACAGATAAAATCTCTACCATGTTATCCAAGGTCTCGTATGGAGGGTTTATTTAGCAAACTGAGCCATAAGATAGCCTTTCTTCATCATCCTCCTCTGTGTGGGGTGAGTGGGGAAAGATTAATCAATATAACAACTGGAAGAGTATCCCATTAACATGCTGCAGGTTTGATAAGTGAAAATCATAGGTGTGCTCTGAAGTTGCACTTTTATACAGTTTCGTACAAGAGGGTTTTATAACAATGATTTTGCTCTGTGCCAGTTTCTATGACATCATAATGCCTCTTGAGGACTGGAACTGGAAAAATGATTGACTGAGCAACAAAAATAAGCAGGAGTATAGAATGCCTTCCATACGTGGAGAAGCAAAAAAACCACTGGGGTCCTTGAATTCATTTTCTAACGAATGACTAAGAAGGGATTTGATAGAAGCATATAAACCCACAAATAGGTTGAAATGGATAAATAGGGAATGCAGGAGTTTGGGTTTTTTTTTCTTCTTTGCTTTGCTTCATACTAGAATTAAAAGGCACCAAATGAGATTTATATGCCGCCAGTTCCAACTTCTCCATGCTTTGACCACACTGGCTCTTCTAACACTTTCATAAACTAATACTAACAATCAAATGACACAGTTCATAATCTGTGACACGGTTCTAATTAAGCTAGTGTGGGACAATGGTGAGAGTTTTGGAATAAGACTAGTGAGACCTAGGTTCAGATCCAGCAATGAAGATTACTGGGTGACCTTGATGAAGCGTTCTGGGTGACTTGGTGTAATCTGCTTCAAAGGGTTGTTTTGAAGATTAAATTAGATAGGAGCATGCCATATATTCTGGCTTCTCCTGCCTTCCCTCCATGGAGTTCATAAATATAATAAAACAAGCAAGCAGGCCCAAGCCTGTTTCCTCTGTCTGTTCCTTACATTCTTTCATACTCTTTAGTGATTTTGGCCAAATCCTGGAAGTCGTTGGTTTACATCTAGTCTGTGAAGCTCTCCCGGTCAGAGTTTCCGACTGTGTCCACCTCTGAGGAAAACCTGTGTGGCTCATGCCAATTTTCCTCAGTTGTACTTGTCATGGGGATTACAAACAATGACTCACAGACCTTTACCAGCTACTTATTTCTCCTCCTCCTCCCTTGATAATATATTCTCCATCTTATATCAAGACAATACCTTCACGCTCCCTCTTCCTGCCAGGCCCAAGAGCCCTGTTTGTGGGTAAGGCATTAGGAGAATGTGTTCCATAACCACTGCAGGGATTAAGTGGGAATCCTGCGTTTTAAGGCTGCCTATGTATTCTTCACATTTTTATTCTCTTCCCCCTTCCCTTGATTCCATCTCCCAAGGAATGCTTACACAATGTCTTGGGCCAAAGCCAGCGTTTTATGATGTGTTTGTACAGTTCTTTGCATGGTGGGCTGCTGATCTGTGTCTGGCGTTCTAGACGGTGACACAATACATTGTAATAACAACAGTCAAGGTCTGGTCACTCGGCAGGTTGACTCCTGTATCCTCCATCAGCCTTGTAATTTTAAACAGTTGCCCATGGCGAAGAACAACGGCCTCCAGGCAACGAGGCACAGGCGCTCTTGCTTTCTCCACCCTGCCACACGTTTCCCACCTGCATTTCTGTCTTGTTTCTCCCACTGTTCAGCTGGAAACACAATGCTTGGGTGGCTTCAAGAGAGGTTTGGACAAATTCATGGAGGATAAGGGCGATCAATGGCTGCTAGCCCCAACGGTGATGCTTGGTCAGAGGCAGTACAGTGGTACCTCTGGTTATGAACTTAATTTGTTCCTGAGGTCTGTTCTTAACCTGAAACCATTCTTAACCTAAGGTACCACTTTAGCTAATGGAGCCTCCTGCTGCCACCACCATGTGATTTCTGTTCTCATCCTGAGGTAAAGTTCTTAACCCGAGGTACTACTTCTGGGTTAGCGGAGTCTGTAACCTGAAGTGTTCATAACCCGAGGTGTTTGTAAGCCGAGGTACCACTATAATGCTTCTGAGTACCAGTTGCTGGAAACCACAAGAGGGAAGAGTGCTCTTGCACTCAGATCTCGCTTTTGAGGGTTTCCCATACATAGGCAGCTAAGTGGTCACTTTAAGAACAGGATGCTGGACTAAATAGGTCATTGGCCTGATCTTGTTGTGTTCTTAATGTCAAGAGAGGAAAATAATGCTCTGGGATTAGATATGTGCAGATTTTATTTTTAAAAAAATCAATTTCAGTTTATAATGTATATATTTTCTTACTGTTGATCTTATTCATACTTTTTTTTTAATGCTTATTTTAGCCTTGACCTTTATTAACTACCGTATTTTTCGCCCCATGGGACGCACTGGCCCATAGGACGCACCTAGTTTTTTGGGGGGAAATAAAGAAAAAAAAATTCCCCCCCCCAGGTGCGGGGCTGGGGCGGGGGAAGCCCGAGCTTCCCCCGACCCCAGCCCCCAGAACAGGCTGCTATCCGCTAGCCGTGGGAGAGCCGCGCGACTTTGCACGGCTCTCCCACGGCTAGCGGAGCACTGCGCAAAGCCCGAACCTTGGGGCGTGCTGAGCTCAGCGCGCCCCAAGCTTCTGGGTGCCGGCAAGCTATCCGCTAGCCGTGGGAGAGCCGCGCGACTTTGCACGGCTCTCCCACGGCTAGCGGAGCACTGCGCAAAGCCCGAACCTTGGGGCGTGCTGAGCTCAGCGCGCCCCAAGCTTCTGGGTGCCGGCAAGCTCTTCGCTAGCCGTGGGAGAGCCACGCGACTTCGCTGCGTCTCCCACGGCTAGCGGATAGCTTCCTGAAGCCTGGAGAGCGAGAGGGGTCGGTGTGCACCGACCCCCCTCGCTCTCCAGGCTTCAGCGAAAGCCTGCATTCGCCCCATAGGACGCACACACATTTCCCCTTCATTTTTGGAGGGGGAAAAGTGCGTCCTATAGGGCGAAAAATACGGTATTTAATGGGTATTTTAAATGTTTTGTAAATTCTGGTAAAACAAATGTTTTATGACCCACCCTGTTCTTCTGAATTGTTTTTTAGCTAATTTTAATATTGTATTTTTGTATTGTTTTGACCAGCCCATAGTGAAGGGTGGATAAGAAATCCAATGAATAGTAGGAATAATATTTAGTAGAGCTGGTGGTAGGCAATCATACCTCTGAAAATATATTCACTAAGCAGGAAATGTACTGTGATTGTCTTGTCAAGAGTGCAGGCCCATAGCTTCAGCTCTGCGTTCAGAAGGACTGAGGTGTCTCTAGTTCAAGGAACTCTGGTATCAGGACTCGGAATGACCCAGGATCAATTACTGAATGGATAATATCAGGCTAAATGGACTTGGTCTAAGCCCGCTTCACTTACGTCCATAAACATGCTTACATAGTCAGGGCTGCTAACTGAAAAACGTGTCTGAGGGTGAACCTCGACAGAATTTGACAGCTTTTACCAGACACTAACAGACCCTGCTATCTTGTTTGATCTTTTGTTTAGTTTCTAGCCCTCATCATTGCAGAGGTATATTTAAAAACACGTAGGTGATGTTTAAAAAGGCATTTCTGTTTGGGGTTTTGAGGATGTATGCCATCTGTGGCTGTATATGTTTGTTCCTTGCTCACAGCCGCTAGTCAGTTTTTCCTAACTGTATACTCCTCTTCCCCATTACTGATCTGCGTTTTCTCTTGCTACTACCCATTGCTACAATAGCAAAATCCACAATAAATGAAGCATTGAATACAGTTGGACTGGACTTCCAATTAAACATGCATGGGATTGTGGCCTCTCTATGTATCCATCTCTAGCAAATGTAAAATAAGCACATTTGCTGCTATGAGGGTAGTTATTTAAAAAAATATTAAAATGCACTATTTGACTCCATCCAAAGAGGTTTTTGTGGCAAGATCTGTTTGTGTGGTGGGTGCTTTTAACTTATTTTGTTTTGTTTCCTGCACAGCAACTTTCTTGTGCTCCTTGTACAACTGGGGAGCTCTCTCTGTGTGTGTTTTAGTGTTAGAAGCAGCTTCCAATAGGTTTAATATAAAAGTACAGACTTTTTTTTTTTTACTTTCAGTACAACTCCTCCCATCATGATTTAATTATTCTGTTAACATTTACCATTTCTTGTGGAGCTGTGTTCCTATTCTACATATTAATGGAAAATGTTCTTTTCTCAAAGTACCGTCATTGCATTGTATCCTCATAATACTTAAAATTAAGATGGAAAACAATAAGTTCTGGTCTCATTTACCCGAATGGAAATAGGGATATTCAAATCATATGCTTTCATTAACTTTGGTGGTGGTGGGGATAGTTAATTTGAGAAAGGAGCTTCATATGACTAAAGTTCTGCCAAATTACGCAGTTTTGTCTTGGCTGATTTCCCCCTCTGCTTTGTTTTCTTTAACTGCAGGTCAGAGATCTTTCCATTGCCTATTTTCTGGTGGGTTTAACTTACCTCTATGTTGGGATATTAATCTTTGCTGCCTTTCCATCTCCACCATTATCTAAAGAATGCATAGAACAGGTAAGGAGGAACTTTATTGTATACTGACAGTATTGTAAGGTGCATAGAATGGATATTGCTGCTTTCCTTGTTCTTTTTAGTTCCCTCTCTCTTTTCAGTTGATTCCAGTCTCCCTAGCATAAACACTGCACACATTTGATGGCACTAAGCCAGAATTGTGGACACGGGCACACATAAAGCAACACTGGGTTTGTCTAGCTAAGGCTGCACTGATTTGGTGGGAAAACATGTTAGTGCGGAAACAACACTGGGTTAGTTTCTTTAACTGTGAACTGATTCTGGTGATTACATCTTGGCTTAAGAAGCTAATATATGAACAAGCCTTTTCCTGGCGTGCGGTTAGTTACCAGCTTCAGAGAAGCCACAATCTTTTAAAATCTTTTTTTAGTTATTTTTTTCTTTGGTTTTTAAACAACAAAAACAAACTTCAGAACAGACATTCAATATTTTACTCTGATTAGCCTGCCAAAAATCCAGATTATAGCCCACATTCTAGGCAAGCCAGGGACTTAAACCACAGTCTGAAGTTTGTTTAAGTTCCCAGTTCAGATGAAATGGGACAGCATGGCACATTAAAACCTTTGGTTTAATTGTGGCTCATGGGAAGGGGAGGCAAGCATGGGCAAAATATTCATTACATGTCTCTGCCTGTTCAGGTGAGATATGATTGTCCAAACTGGCTCACTGTCTAAAGTGAGACAAGAGTTCCTAGCAGTAGGTTGAGTTTTATATGGGCACCTGCAGCTGCATATCCAGGAACAAATCAAATAATCATAGAATTGGTAGGTACCACAAGGGTTGTCTAACGCAGCGTCACGCCGGGAGGGACGCACGAAAGTGTAAGTTTCAATTTTCCCCCTCCCCCTTGCCTTCCTTCTGTGCCAACCACCAAAAAGCCAAGAAAAAAGCCAAGACTTTAGGGCAGCAGGTCGACACGGAAGAAGCTCCTACCTAAGGACAGGTGCGACGGCCATGTCCTCTTCTGCCACACTTGGCAGCCCTGCCTCACGGTCGTGACTCCCACCCTGATTTCTCCCCGCAGGTCGAGCGGCACAGGCAGCCCAATGTGTCCAGCCCAGACACAAGCCCCGCTTCCCCACTCTAGATCCTGAATGCGACCAAGTGCTCTGGACTCCCGAGCAGGGTGGGAAAGAGGACTCGCATCTGGTAGCCTCCGGGCTCCTCGCCTGCTCGAGGGATGGCATTGCAGGCAAGCTGCCGGCCGTCGCCATCGCCGCCCCCTCATGCGAGTGGACCTGCCCGGAGTGGTGGGCCGGGGGAGGCTCGCTCTCTGTGGGGATGTGGCCCGCACGCGTGGCCCCGCTTTCTCCTGCCCAGGGCTGAGCTCCTTACCCGCGATCTCGGTCTCGCGCACACGGATCCCACTTATTCCGAAGCTCGCGCCACTAGCCGGGGCTCTCACACCGTGCCAGGGCGAGGCGGCGCAGCCCACTGACGTCATCGCGGCTCGCCGCCGCCCTCGACTTCCCTGTTCCCTCCCCTCCCTCGGGTCGCCATGGTTACCGAGGACTGCAAGCTGCTCGGGCGAGCGTGGGGCATTAAGTGGGAGAAGGAAAATTAAAATTAAAACTCGCCTGAAGGCCGCCTCTCCGGATATCTTTCGAATTTTTTTATTTTTCCCGCGGCACACCAGGCAACGTCTCGCGGCACACTAGTGTGCCGCGGAACACTGGTTGGGAAACACTGGTCTAGTCCAACCGCCTGCAATGCAGGAATCCAAAACAATACTGTCTCTGAAAATGAAAAAGTCAACAGAGGGAATATTAAGGGGAAGTTCAAAATAGAAGGACTATTGCTAGTCACTATGTGATTTGCCTTAGCCAAGAAAATCCCTCTTCCTTCCTCTAAACCAAGTGTAAGACCTGAAGTCTGTAGCCTGCAGAAAATAAAGGGACCAAAATTCACTTGCATGGAGTTAGCATAATCTAGCCAGACATTGTTGGACTCCAGCTCCCATCAGCCCCAGCCAGCATGGCCAGTAGCCAAGGATGATGGTACTTGTAGTCCAAAATGTTTGCATGGCAAACTGATTCAGGGTTACGGAAGACAGGTCTAGCCGTATCCATAGGTATGGCTTCAAACAAATATCTGAGGTGGTCAGGAATGGTCGGTTTGCTTTGGCATTGCTGCTGTTGTGTAAGCAAGACCATAACTTTCTGGCTTGTACCACATTTACAAGAAATTTCAAAGCAGGCAATAGATAAGGATCTTGCCTCTTGTTTTGAGTTAGAACAGCCTAGTCTCACTAACACTCGCGGTGCCAAACAAATGGTCCCCAAAATAGCTATTTATTTGAATTTCCCTGCCATCTAGAAAAAAAATAAAGCGGCAATTTTCACTTTGTTTTTATTCATATGAAGTTGCGATGCATGTATAGAGAAGATGCAAGAAGATACATTGGAATGGTTATGACAATGTATATATGCTGTTTCTAATTCGATCCTGATTTGTGTATTGGGAGCTAAAATGGCAACACCACTACATATCTAAGTGCACTACATATGCCTCTTTAGCAGTTTAGTCATGCCAGCCACATGACCCAGAAAACTGGACAGATGCCAGCTCCTTCGGCCTGAAAAGCAAGATGAGTGCCTCACCCCATAATTGCCTTTGACTGGACTTAACCATCCAGGGGTCCTTTACTTTTTTTAAAAAAAGTACATATGTACTGCTAGCATAGCGTATGATACACCACTAGGACATCTATGGGCCTCAGAGTATAAGAATTTGCCCCAGGTAGTAACTGGATATTATGACCTTCTTATATATGGGCTCTATATTCACTTTTTTAAATTCAGGGAACTAAACTACTGTGACTAATTGGGTTATGTTTGGGGTGTATGTGTATGTGTAGGGACACGGGTGGCGCTGTGGGTTAAACCACAGAGCCTGAGGCTTGCCGATCAGAAGGTCGCGGTTCGAATCCCTGTGACGGGGTGAGCTCCCGTTGTTCGGTCCCAGCTCCTGCCCACCTAGCAGTTCAAAAGCACGTCAAAGTGCAAGTAGATAAATAGGTACCACTCCGGCGGGAAGGTAAACGGCGTTTCCGTGCGCTACTCTGGTCCGCCAGAAGCGGCTTAGTCATGCTGGCCACATGACCCGGAAGCTGTCTGCGGACAAACACCGGCTCCCTCGGCCTATAGAGCGAGATGAGCGCACAACCCCAGAGTCGGCCACGACTGGACCTAATGGTCAGGGGTACCTTTACCTTTTTATATTCACTTTTTAAATTCAGGGAACTAAACTACTGTGACTAATTGGGTTATGTTTGGGGTGTATGTGAGTTCTGTTTGAGAGAGAGGGTTTTAGCTGGGGCATAAGCATCTCCAGTACAGGAAACCTAACAAATATGGATGACGATTGTAGCATAGCCTGTACAAATTGTATAAATGAGAATGACTGCTGTTGATTTAGAAAATCCGCATTTGCATAATTGTGGAAGCAGGAGAAGGTACACACTATAACTGTCATTGTTGCTATCTCATTAGCCATTTTTTCTGTTAGAACTTTTTAGACAACTTCCCCAGTAATGACATCATGTCATTTCTGGCAAGAATATTCCTGCTGTTCCAGATGGTGACTGTGTATCCACTGCTTGGATACTTGGCACGAGTTCAGCTATTTGGACACCTCTTTGGAAATGTTTACCCGAGGTAAAGACAGCTCTTTTTGCATGCATCTGCCTTCTGCCTGACCACGATCACTGCCGTTCCTGGACACATTGCTGCTTCTCACTTGCATCCGTCCAGGCAATCATTTGGTATCGAGTAATAGTATCTTCCTACTTGAAATCCTTCTGCAGCCCAGGATGTGGGTGGCACTGTGGGTTAAACCACAGAACCTAGGGCTTGCTGATCAGAAGGTCAGCGGTTTGAATCCCCGCAACGGGGTGAGCTCCCGTTGCTCGGTCCCTGCTCCTGTCAACCTAGCAGTTCGAAAGCATGAAGTGCCACTCCGGCAGGAAGGTAAACGCTGCTCTGGTTCGCCAGAAGCAGCTTAGTCATGTTGGCCACATAACCCGGAAGCTGTACACCAGCTCCCTCGGCCAGTAAAGCGAGATGAGCGCCGCAACCCCAGAGTCATCCGCGACTGGACCTAATGGTCAGGGGCCCCTTTCCCTTTACCTAATAGTAGCTTCCTACTTGAAATCCTTCTGTAGCCCAGGAGCTGCATCATGTTATGCAGGAATTCAAAAGAAGTAATCCGGTACCTATTTAACATTATCGATGACTGCTTTTGAGCCACCTTTCAGACACTTTAAGAGTGTCAGGTGACTGGCATCTAAACCTCCCTGGTACAATAAGATTCCTCTTTCAGAGACTGAAGCTGTTCAGTGTGGGACAGTTCTTGGTCCTACCCTACCCCATCTGTCAAGTCTGCTTTAAAACGATGCACCCATCTTCAGACTTCATTTGCTTGCCTTCAATGTTATGTCGTGCAATGGACTCCGTAGTACATTTTCCTATCTTCATCTTTGAACTCCAGCATACTTCCTGCAGGACAGTCTGCCCTGATTTTCATAGTCTTTGCAATTCAGAACCAACGTTTTCTTTTAAGTCCCAGAATTTGCAGATGTGGAAACTGCTGTTTTATAGCTCCTGGCAACAGAACTCTAGAAAAGATGTATAAAAACCAGATAGCTACAATTTTGGAGTGAAAATGCAGTTTTTTTTAACTACCCCTATTTGGCAATAAGTTCAGAACCCATCTTAGTTATATCTAAGGAAGAATTAAGCAGTTTATCCACTGCTCAGTAACGCATTACTGACAACTTAGTTTTGTTTAGAAACACATTGTTCCTGGTCTGATTCCTAAGTGGGGTCTGTCAACTGTCCAAAAGTTTCAGCTTTATCGGATGCCAAATATAAGCGTGTACTTCCTGATGGGGATGGGATAACTGGAGTATATTACACCCATGTTTTGGCATCTATACAGGCATCGTAATGGTCTTCAGACTCAACTTAGACTAATGGGTATGGAGGCTTTAATGGCTTGGGCTCAGCTTTTCCTCCTCTATTTCCTAACCTAAATGCTAAGGTCTACCTAGTGTACGCTTATAACCAGGCATCCTAAAGGTGCCCCAGTTCCCTACTGTAGCGTAATAAGTAACTCATAATTAGCTACCCCTACATGGCACCAAAAATCTGTTGCTCGAGGCAGTCACAGTCTATGATGTGGTGCTATGGTTGGAGTGTAGGGGCATTATTTATCTAAATAGTTGTGCTACTGCAAGGATTAGGGCTAGTGCAATAGGATGTCCCCCTCTCCCTCTGCGCTCACCCCACACCACCTCCCAAGAACCAGAGACTACCTTTGCATTTTAAGATGGGAACAGGGGAGGGAGTCTGATTCTTTCTAAGTCTTAATACATTGCAATATTCCAAAAAAGTGAAATTAACACCTTGGGAGGAAAGGTTTTTAAAGGATATGTTTCTCATGTTCTGAATTTGCAGAGACTTACGAAGCAACCTAGTAAAGGTTTTTATCTTTTATTTAAATATCAAAACATACCATTTTTAAGCACATGTCATTCTAGGTTTCCTAGAAGTTTCTGAATCAGTATTTCAAACAAGTTCATTGCTTTGCTTGCATTCAGAGATTGTTCTTGTTGAGAATGTGAAAATTCTTTCTAGTTAGAAAAAAAATATATCTTTCCAGTTAAAGAATTCAGAGGAGTACAATAAACCTTCCCATTTGTACCATAAGAGATCTAGTTTAATGAACATTGTTCCTAGTCATGAACCTTGAAAAGCCAAACATTTATTTAATCTAAGAAAAAATGCTCAAGATCTGCTTGTGTAGATGCATTTAGTGTAATGCTTTCCACTCTTCCGAAGATTCTTCCTCTGGTACTCATTAGTCTGCTTGCTCAGCTCAAATCATTTCCTGGATCGAAAGCACTGCTTTTCATGTGGGAGTTCTGTTCTAGAGTCTTTGGATTTGGAGTAGTTGCGGGGATTGTTTTCATGTTTTGCTTTTTTTATATTAAAAAAAAACCTGTGTTCAAAAAACAAAACAAAAAACCCACCACCGAACCCTTGGGGTGCTGCATATTCCACAAGCTACATTGTTTTCAGAAGAATTGCCAAATCATACATACCCTATTTGGGAATGAGCTGGCAAGTCCAAGCATTCAAGAGAACTTTTTAGGATCTGGCACTCGGTGGCTTCAGTAGATGTCAGGCTTGTTGCGGGTAAAATTAATTGCCTTTAGCATATGAGTCATAGAAATGGAAAGACTTTCACAAGCTTACTGAAGCGAGTAAAGAATGTTGTTCTTGCAGCAACAACACACAATGTAGATGACTTGATTTTCCTCTTCTCTTGCAGTTTCCTACACGTGCTGGTTTTGAATATAGCCATGGTAGGAGTTGGAGTCGCGATGGCTATATTTTACCCAAACATAGGAGGAATCATAAGGTACTCCTGTATTTTGCGTTTGGTCATTATGCCATACAAATGGCTTCCTGCAGGCAGGTACAGACTGTTGTTCAAAGTGCAGATTGTAAGTTTGTAATAGCAGCAGGCAAAGTCAGCATTTGTTCAGGGAAGCCTAAGAAAACAGAATCATCATGTCCTGTTGACAAATGCAGTAGAACGAGAAGGCAGAATTTTTAAGTACTAGAGTAAACTGTACAATTTCAGTCCATTGGGGGATAGGGGTGCCACTTTTAATGCTCCCTATCATGAAATAAATAGTGCATTAGAGAGTCAGGGAGGGATGAAGCTTCTGTCCTTGCCAACTCCCTGTTGTGCTAATTTTCTGCTTGCAAGGAGCTTTCCACATGCAGTAATTTTCAAAAGCCTGATTCGGCTGCCTGCAGTCGGACCATGGTACAGAGTCCAGGGGTCAGCAAACTTTCTCAGCAGGGGGCCGGTCCACTGTCCCTCAGACCTTGTGGGGACTGATTTTGAGGGGGAGAAATGAACGAATTCCTATGCCCCACCAATAATCCAGAGATGCATTTTAAATAAAAGGACACATTCTACTCATGTAAAAACACGCTGCTTCCCGGACAGTCCACGGGCTGGATTTAAAAGGCAATTGGGCTGGATCCGGCCCCTGGGCCTTAGTTTGCCTACCCATGGTACAGACCATTCTGTCGCCTCAGAACTCTATTTTCTCATTCCTCCCTAATTCAGCTGCATGCATAGACTAAGCATCACATTGCAACCATCACATAGAAGACATTTACCATGAAGCCCGTAAAGACAACCATACTAGCTGGAGCCGGGCAACTCTTTTGCCCTGGTATAGTTTGGTCAGCTGCATCATCCTCCCAAGTGGCCAGGTGGCTTTTGCCACACATCTGCTTCAGCTGTATAGTAAAATATACGGTAGGATGTGTGATGAAATGGTAATCTGCATGTAGCTGGGATGGCCCATTGGCACACTAGCATCAAAAGGTGAGTAGGTGAGGAGAGTCTCCCAAAAACTAGTACAGTAAGCCTGCAACATATGTGGGGGATTGTGTTCCGGGGATGGTGCCTAAACTGAATGCACACAAGTTACAAGAGCTTCCTGTTCTTTGTAGCTTACCGCAGTGGCGTAGCGTGGGTTGTCAGCACCCAGGGCAAGGCAAGTAATTTGCGCCCCCTAACCCGTGGATTTGCGCCCCCTAACACTATCCCCCAGATGTTGCGCCCGGTGTGGCCGGCCCCCCCTGCACCCCCCACGCTAGGCCACTGATCCATAGCTAAAAGCAGAAGTCGACAAATGTGTCCTGTTTTTTGCTCTTCAAAATATGGCAACCCGAAGACCCCCAGGGACCGTCCAACCAGCCTAGGAAGTGCGCTCTGGTCGCGGGGGAGGAGACACGAGGCATTGCCATCCACACCTGGAATTGAGGAGGAGCTGGAAAGGTCCTTTGGTTTCACACCCAGGACCCATTTTTTCTCACTTCTTTTGAGAAAGGGGTGGGAAACGGGATTTGGAGGGCGCGTGTGTGCGCGTAGCTGAGCTCCAGTTGCTCTGGGCATTTCTGGACCGCGCCAGTAGCGTCTCTCCTAACCCCTCCCCACCCTGGTCCCCAGCCCCCGCCCAAAGGCTTCCCCCTACCTGGCCAAAGTTCCACCCGAAGCTGGAGATGCGGTTCGCGCTGCCCACGAAGACGACGCTGAACTCGGAGAGGACGTATTCCTTGCGCTCAGCGCAGCGGCGCAGCTAGCCGCTCGGTGGCCCGGGGCGGCGCGCGCGTCCTGCAGCCAGGGGCGAGTGCCATGGGGGCGAGCCATGGCAGGGCGCGCTGCGTGGAGCCTCGCTGCAGCCTCCCCCTCAGCTGTAGGGAGGCTGAGGCGGTGGGCAGAGGCCAGAGCAGAGCTTGCAGGCAGTTCGCCCGCAGACGCATGGCTCAGGCACGCTGCAGGCGCCGAGGTGTGGCGCCCAGTGCCCCCCGCCTCGCCTAGCTACCAGTGGCATAGGAAGGGGTGCGCGGTGGGTGCGGGGCTGAAAGGACAGACGAGGCTCCAGCAACCACCCCCACCGCCAAGTCCGCCGGTCCTGCAATCCCTTGCACACTGACTTGGAAGTACAGTGGTACCTCGGGTTACATACGCTTCAGGTTACAGTCTCCGCTAACCCAGAAATAGTACCTCGGGAGGGTCAGAGAGCTGCGAGTGCGCCCCCCCAGATGGTGCGGCCGGCCCCCCCTGCACCCCCCACGCTACGCCACTGGCTTACCGTATTTTTCGTTCTATAGGACGCACTTTTTCCCCTCCAAAAATTAAGGGGAAATGTGTGTGCGTCCTATAGAGCGAATGCAGGCTGCACCGCTAAGCCCAAAGCCAGAACAGGGAGACGGAGCACTGCGGAGTGCTCCGTCTCACTGTTCTAGCTTGGGGATTTCTGCACGCACAGCCTCTCCAGGGCAGCGGGCGCTGCGCTCCAAAGGCTTCAGGGATCTTTGAGGCTGCAGAAGCTAGCAAGGCTGTTCCCAAGCCAGAACAGCGAGACGGAGGGCTCCGTCTCGCTGTTCTAGCTTGGGGATGGCTGTGCGCACAGCCTCTCCAGGGCAGCGGGCGCTGCGCTCCAAAGGCTTCAGGGATCTTTGAGGCTGGCGGTGGGGGAAAGCAGCGCTCCCCCCAACTACCAGCCCCACAAGCCTGGGTGAATGTACCTTGAACACACCTTGTTTTAGAGGGGGAGAACAAGAAAAAAAAAATTTCCCTGTTCTCCGCATCCTATGGTCCGGTGCGTCCAATGGAGCGAAAAATACCGTATTTCCTTAGATCTTGGCCAAGCCCTTACAGAATCACTATTGACTAAAATGGAGTTCACACGAGTAGAGTTACAGTTCAAAACCAGCGGCCTTTTTCACATTTTTCCAATTGCATAAGGCAGGGGTGGGGAACTGCAGGCCTTGGAGCCAAATGCAACCCCCTAGGCCAGTGGCAGAGCCTGCCTCCTCCCACTCAGCCGCCCTACAGCTGAGGGGGAGGCAGCAGGTGGACTGTTTGGGGCAGCGCAGAGCCTGCGGACGCCCAAGCCACCATGTACTCCCAGAAGAGCCGCGTGGCTTGAGTGTGCTGCAGGCCCTGCGGTGAGTGCTGCCCGGCATTTTGTCACCCCCCCCCTCAGTGGTGACACCCGGGGCGGCCCACCCCCACCACACGCCCCTTCCTCTGCTCCTGCTGTAGGCCTCTCTGCCTGCTCTTGGCCCTCCCCATACCACACCCCTCACTGACCCTGCTCAGCACTTCCTCCCTGAGTGTTTTTGCCTGGCTGGAATGTGTCCCTTAACTCTGATAATGCCTCTTCCTAGTTGCAATGGACTGTGTCGAAACTAGCCTACCGTACAAAGGTACAATTTTACTTTTATTGTCCCACCCATTTTTGGCTCTGGCTCGGCCCACCACTGGCATCTGGCCCTCAGATGTTTTCACAGGGGTGAATGTGGCCCTCTGTCTGAAAAACGTTCCTCACCCCTGCTTCAAGGGAAGAGAGGGGCAGCTGAGAAGAGGAAACTGAAAGGATTTTGCTATATTGTTCTGCCCATAGCAGCCATTTAATATTTAGACATACTTCAACTGCTTCTCCTCTCATTGTGGACTGAGGGCTGGGTTTTTTCCCCTACAATAAAATTTCTAAGGCAGAAATCCTATGCCCACTTACATGGGAATAAACCCCCGTAAACTGAGGGGAATTTACTTCTGAACAGACATCTAAAGGGTTGCACTGTAAAAAGGTTAAGATAAAACTTTGGGTTTTTCCCCCCCTCCTCAGGTATTCTGGAGCAGCTTGCGGCTTGGCCTTTGTATTTGTGTATCCATCGCTCATCTACATGATCTCTTTGCATCGGGAAAATCGTCTGACGTGGTTGGCTATAGTTGTCCATAGTACGATAATCCTTCTGGGAGTGGCTAACTTAATTGCACAGTTCCTAATGTGAACATAAATCTTAAGGTCAGTTTCTTTTTCAAGAGAAGATTAGGTTACCATGAGCAACAGCATTATAAAAGCTGTGGACTGCCTATCTGTGGGGGCCGAATTCTTCCAAAGAAAAGCTGTATTTTAAAACAAAACGTCTCTTCAAGAAATGGATGGTATACATTGGAACACATAGTACAGCATGGCAAACTGAACAGCCCTAGTGAATTTCTGATGAAACATCAAGTAGAAGTGCAATTGGGATTAATTAAGCTTAAGTTCTTCGGTAAATGCATATATTTTTTTCAAAGGGAAAAAGGCACATGATAAACTTTATATATAGAAACTGTTGGTTGACTTTTCTTGCAGCATAATAGAATTAAGGGACTCTGCTGATCATAAAAATTATATATCATATTTCACACAGTGGTGACATCAGTATTATATGTCGAAACAAGTGGTTTGAAATCCTTTGCAAGTGAAATGTAGCACAGATCAAATTGAAGTACACAACTTTTTAAAAAGCTGTAACTGTTGCCTTTTAGAAAATGTAATGTACATGGTTCTTGAAAATGGACTGTTGCTGTACTATACCTGGATATGCATAAGAATTCTTTTTTTGATGTTTCAAGGCAAGTAGAAATATGTTTTACCTTTCCAACCTGGAAGGGATTATTTGTAAAACTCTCTAGTGTTTGTGATTAGTACTTGAAGGCTGTTTCTAGGAAAGTTGACCTTTTTGAGCCAAAATCTGGGAGGGGATGGTAAGATTGGCATGCATGCATGCACAAAGATTGGTCACAATGCTTTTCATACATTTCCAGCCACAGTTCAGAGAACTAGTTTGACTTTTTAAAAACCTGTGCAATCCAATAGTTACCATCAAGAGATCTGCTGGCAGAATGGCCACTGCACCCCCAGTTTGCTCAGCCCAGTAGGGGAGGAAGTAAATACAGAAGAAGAATCTATATGAAAACAATTGAAAGCGGCATACACAGTTGTACCAATCCCAGAAGCCTAACTGCAGCCTACACTACCACTTGCAGGCTTCCTATACTCAGAGGCTGCCAAAGAACCTGCAGTGATCAGGGTGGATGTCATCAGCCTGCCTCCCAGCATCACAGCACTCAACACCAGAAGGCACCTACTCCAGTAGCCCTAGTGACTCATTGCCTAAGGCACGGGTTTGGGAAGCAGGAGATGGGAGTTTGAGCCTCAACAGGAGCTGACATTCCCCTGTTCACCTCTTGCACACCTGGGGTGGGGTGGGGAGAACCAAAGCAAATGTCAGGGGCAAAAGAGAGGGAGCTGTTGTGCAAGGAGCTGGGCACTCCGCTCACCCTTCTAATAGTGGCTAACGGGGAGGGAGCCCCATACAGCTGCTGCACAGTCCAGCTACTGGATTCCTCTGCTGAAGTGCCCTGAGACGCTTATGCACCTTGTCCTGCTGTCCAGATGATCAGCCCAGGGTGGGCAGGCTCCTAGGAGCCAGAGCGAAGAGGCACAATTTTTGTACCTCCTGGACCTGCACCCCCAGCGGGGGCCAATCTAACCAACCCCTGCCTGGGGACAACCCTATTCTAGGAAGGGGGAAAAGGCCTAGCCTACCGTATCTCAACCAATCACTAAGAGTGTTGCATGAGCCAATAGCCTGCTCCTAGATGGGCCAACCAGCCTTTCTAGCCCACCCTCAGCAAGCCATGTGACTAATCCACTCTCAACACATGATGGCTGAATAGGAAAGCCATGCCAGGTAACATCCCAGCGGAACTCTTCCTCTTCATACAAAGTTTGGGGAATGAAAGAGTCTCTACCCCAATAGCCCATGCCCTCCCCAAGTCCCAGCCTGAGACCAGCTGATGCCAAGGTGAATTGCTTCCTAAACAGGGTCTCTTCCCCCCCTCTATCTCTTGAGGCTCTTCTATATTGACTATTGATAGACGGTGAGATGGGAGGGGTAGTTGTGCCTGGCAACCAACCAGAAAGGACCTTGTACTTTTCTCTGTTCCTCTACTGTGGGGCAGAATGGCTGGCAGCTGACAACCTTCACTGCCAAGAAGAGATGCTGATGAAGGCCACTAACGACAGATAGCTTTAGGACGGGATACAAATTAATGGAGAGAGAGAGAGAGAGAGAGAGAGAGAGGCTCTTTGTCATGGTGACTACATGCAACTTTCAGGTTCAGAGGAAGTATGCTTCCAAATTAACTGCTGGAGGGTAGGAGCAGGAGAGAACTGTTGTACTCCTGTTCTGCTCATGGGGCTCCCAGAGGCCCTGATGTGGCCACATTGGAGAACAGAATGCTGATAATCTTTTGGTTCTGATCCAACAGGACTCCGTTTATGATTATCTTATACTCTTAACAGTAGCAAGGTGTGCTCAAAGTAACAAGAGTTGGCTGCAGTTATACTTCATATCTAGATTCCTCTTTCACAAAATCCATTATTTAAAGGACTCTGCTGGCGGAGGCCTTGTTAGTTTCAATAGACTCTACACCAGTGTGACGTTTTCAGGGTCCACATGCCTGTCTTCTGGAGTAAATGTCGATGTGATTATTTTTTTTCCATAAGATCCGGACTTTTTAAAGTGTGCTTATGTTGGACACTTGTTGTGACATGATAGCATTGATGCACATCCTGGAAAAGTTCCAAGATTTCCTAGATCAGGAAATTCCCTAAAGTTGGGAAACTGCTTTTGTCACCACTCTATCCTCTATCTATGCACTCTATTTAAACATAATAGAACTCACATATACGTAGGTGGAAACTAGGGACAGAAGGTGTCTGAACAAGTGCCAGGTGTGTGTTTTTTTGCTGGCACAATCTGCTGTGCTGCGCTCAGGAGGCAGTTGCTGCAACCTGGGACCTGATTTTCCTCTAGTCCTCAAGGAGGCCTTCAATTGAAGCCGGGAGCAAATTAGCCAGATTATTGCATAGCCTTGTATGCACTAATCCAGGATTCTTAGGCATTGCCAACAGATGGAGACAAACTCCCTAGTGCAGGCATCCCCAAACTCTGCCCTCCCAGCTATTTTGGGACTACGATTCCCATCAGCCCTGACCACTGGTCCTATTAGCTAGGGGTGATGGGAATTGTAGTCCCAAAACAGCTGGGGAGGCCAAGTTTGGGGATGCCTGCCATAGTGCCACTGCCGTTTGGTTCCTTGGTTTGGCATTGGTGTCTCTTCAAAGAAATGACATGAAACAAGAATATGAGAAACTGTAAAGAAACAGACAATAAAATAAACTGGTGCTATTTTAATGGTTTAAAAGTGTACTTTTATCTTGTGTGCAGAATACAGTTTTGATTTATGTCATGTAGAATGGAAGATGGATAACTTGCACCCTGTTGTTACATGTGCCAGCAAAAGATAAGAATACCTGGGTGGTCATGTGTACTTTGCCATTGTTGGAACACATTTTACGCATGTGCGTTTTGAGAAGTTTGGTTTGCTAAGCTACAAAAATTAATAATGAGGTTCTGTCTCTTGAGAACTGTACTGAAGTCTCAGCACAGCTGGGACAAACCATAATTAAAGGTTATCAGATTTTGGAGGATGCTCTTTCCATTTAAGTTAACGGCTGCTGAGTCATTTTAGTGGGAGGGGGAAGTGCCCTCAAACTTTGCCTATGTCTCTCACCCAAAGCTCTAATAATTGCCCTATTAAAGGTAAAGGTAAAGGTACCCCTGCCTGTACGGGCCAGTCTTGACAGACTCTAGGGTTGTGCGCCCATCTCACTCAAGAGGCCGGGAGCCAGCGCTGTCCGGAGACACTTCCGGGTCACGTGGCTAACGTGACATCGCTGCTCTGGCGAGCCAGAGCCGCACACGGAAACGCCGTTTACCTTCCCGCTAGTACCGCCGACCTTTCGATCGGCAAGCCCTAGGCGCTGAGGCTTTTACTCACAGCGCCACCCGCGTCCCTTTTGCCCTATTATAATTCCCTGAAAGGGGCATTTATTGCAAGTAATTAAACAGCAACCTCTAGGTTATAGATGTAAGCAAGCTGAGCAAAAAAAAACCCATTGATGCTATTCCAGCCAGTCCTTTTACTGCAGCTTCTTTGTGATAGAGCTAAATGCTTTGCATCTTAATTTGACTGGGATAACCAAATCAGTTGTACTTTGGGCTTAAGAATATGATCTACTGCCTGTTTTGTTTAAGAGGTTCCATCTACTGCTACAACCATGCGTCTTTTGTGCCCTTTTCTGATTCTCTCAATGACTGGTGTTTCCTCAAAATTTGACTGACAAATACATGAATGTGGGAGAAGGCCATCTACTGTATATTTTGGGAAGTTGTTTGCTGTACATTTGGAGACCTCTTAAGATAATTGTAACCAAGTTTGAATGGCTCCTCCCAAGACTGAAGAGCAGGGTTTTGTCCATTTGGTTAACGTTGGATGCCACTTCAAATCAAAATGGCAAACTGAGTCCTTCAGAACTGCACTGCATTTTGTTGGTTTCTTAAAATTGCTGGGCAGTGTTGTACACAAGGCTGCTGGCTGACTATAAACTGAAGCATAATGCTGCTTGCTTCTTATGCTGTATGTGTGCGCGCGCACACACACACACACACACATATATATATATATATATATATATATATAACACAAAATAAAGTAAATCAAAAGTTCATAAAGAGAAAAAAGTAAAAAAAACCAACCTAGGTTTATTATATCCCAAACAAATACAATTCCACATATATGTTTGTCTAGTATATGGGTATATAAGTGTTATTATCATCCCAATACATATATGGCTATTTATAACCTACTTTTTTTTAATAATCGCATTCCAAATACAGTTGTAACTTGGAAGTCGAATGGAAGTCGAACAAAATGAAATCTGTTCTGGAAGTCTGTTCGACTTCCAAAACGTTCGGAAACCAAAGCGCAGCTTCTGGCCACAGAAGCCCCATTGGACATTTGGCATCCAAAAGAATGTTAAAAAACCGGAACACTCATTTCCAGGTTTTGATCGTTCGGGAGCCAAGATGTTTGAGATCCAAGGTACGACTGTATCATCATACTTCTCAATACAAAGTCTACGATTGTAAGCAATCTGTTCATAAGTTGCAAGTGTTGTCATATCTTCAATCCATTGACTGAAGAGGGCCATACATTTATCTTTCCAGTGCATTAATATCAGTCTTTTGGCTGCAGTAAAGGCACGAAGGATCCATTTATGTTGTACCATTGTCAGATCCTATGTAGTAGGTACGTAAGAGAGAGATGTGAAGTGGGAGGAGCAGAGACAGCTGCACCAGCGGAGTCTCATATTGCTTGAGAAGGACGCGGGAGATGAGAAGGCCTAGGCAGCTGTGGGAAGCTGAGAACCTTCAGTTCCAACTGTCATAGGAGCAAGACCTGTACTCCTTAGGCCTGGCACTACCGAGCAGCCTTATTTCTTCTAATAAAGAGTTCACTTGCTCCATGTGATTTATTGCTCCTGGCACCAATATTGCAGAATCAGGACTGTGTCTGAGTGAACGTGAGCGATGCCAGCCTTGCAAAGCAGCTGCATGTTATATTCCTTTTTTCTGGGGAGAGAGGTGAGTTATCATAGTATATGACAACTTTTAGTTTAAAAGTTCCTTGATGGATGATGGCTTATCTGTTAATCAGCATTGTTAGTTTCCTTAGCCTTACTCCAGCCTTCACTGAAGCCCATAACTTTTCCTTGGGCAACTCCAGTGGATCGTGTCCCAGCTTGTCTTCTAGCAACATGTCACATAAGTTATTTAGTTGGAGGGTTTTTTCCTCCTGAGAACCAAATTACTGCCTTATTTTTAAAAATAAGCCTACAGAAAATGAAGTAGAGAGCTTGCACTGAAAAAAAAGAAAATATCTTGAAAATCATATGCATACAGGGCAACTGAATGCTCCCATCAGATGCAAACACCTGCTAACTAATGCAGGTTACTTTGGCCTTATGAAAACAAACAGAACAAGAATGGGCCTAGAGCTGATGTGACATTTTCATTGTAAGTGGGGTTTGGCATAATTAAGAAAATGGTGGTGATTAGAAGCTTTCTTAGCAGAGCACTCCTGCTTCTTGCCATGTCAGAAGCCTTCAAAGTGCTAATAGTTAAACAGAAAATGTCTGTAGTGAGGTATTTATATCTGCATGTTATTTCTTATTTATATCTGTATGTTACTTCTTGGCTATGCACGGGGGGAAAAGCATACACATGCACACAATGGCCTAATTAAGTAAAATAAAAATGTGTAACAGATTGCTCAGTTTGCTCAAGAAAAGCTTTGAGACAGCTGCTGCAATGAAGAGGTTTAAGTAACACTGTTGTCTGTTTTTTTAATTTGACAGGCCCTGAAGGGGTGCATAAACGAACCTGTCCCTTTATTTTTGCAGTTTCCTCCAGATACCCATGGAAAGTCTACAGCCAGTGGTATCTCCCTCAGCAACAAACCTCCATGTCTGAGAGTGTGTAGTACTGTACAGCTGGGAATTTTTTGAACAGGTAGTGACACAGGGTTGGTTTGGGGAATCAGTTGATTCTTTAAACCTGGAAGCACCTGGATTGTGGTGTTCGTAGCACCTTGGCTTAAACTGCCTATAGTTCCCTCCTCAGCCCACCAGTCCCAAAGAGATGGAACCAGTGCCTGACTCAACAGTGCTCTCGTTTTTGAACGCCATGACCCGCAACACATATGCATAACTGGATCAAGGTGACCAGGTTTAGATAATTAACTTAAAACCTATCACAAGGTCTTCAAATGTGTATGTTTCAGAGTTGATTGTTCTAGGATAGAAAACAGTTTATACTTGATAAAGCAGTGTGCATTTGCATTCTCCCTATATCAAAGGGGTAAATGAGAGACAATGTGACCACTCATTGGAGAATGATGGTCAGTCTCTTCCCCCAGCCTCCTAGAAATACCAGCTGCTGGTGCAGGACTTACTGTACTTATGCACACCTTAGCAGCCTGACTTGCACACAGTTCTCTTGAGTATAGAATAATTAAGCATGTTTTTGGGGATGGTGCACATAGCTGTTTGTGAGTTATGGGCAGGGAGACCAAATCCCAATGCATTCATAAAGCTCACTGTGTAATATTGGGCCAGTCACACACCACCTCAGCCTAACCTACCTCATAGGCTTGTTGTGAAGATAAAGTAGGCAAGAGCTATGCACACCATCTTGAGTTCCTTGAAGGACAGGTAGAACGTACATGTAAAAATGTATTTTAAAAAATCACAGAGAGCAGCAGACCAGGCAAAGCAGCATCCTTGCAGTTTCACATAAGCCCTGTGCCAGCAGCCCGATACAATAAGACACATTCTGTCATTTCATATTGTTGGAGCAGGGAGAAGAGCTGCCAATACAGGTTTTCTGTACCTCCATTTCAGAGTGGGATATACTGGCTGACAGGTGAGAGCTTTGGATTTCAGCAACAGTAAACTTCAGGTTTTGCAACCATTCTTTAAAAAATGATTTTTTAAACTCTTAAAAGCCATGTCCAGGTTAAGTGCCTTCTTGACCATAACTCTTGGCCACCGTATGCCCTTCAACGACAGGCTCAAACCATGCACCCATCCACTTTGCAACAGATGATAATGATGGATTTCACAGAGTTAAAAGCAGACAGCTGTTGCGAAACGCATTTATAACTAATTTATTGCAGTCGCAACGATGTGGACAAATTTAAAATGTTTCAAGCAGTGGGACTGAAAGCAATACATGTGATTCACCTATGGTTTTGGTTTGGAACAAGAGATGGGATTTAATCCTTTATTGTCTGTGTGTCCCGTCCCCCGCCAATCCTCTTGCCAAATCTTATTTTGCCTGATCAAAATATCCAGAATAGGGTGTATTTTGAAGCTGTAGTATCTGAAATACAAAACAACCATGATATTTGGTGAAACTCTGAACTTGCTTTGCCAACCAGGTGCTCTCCAGATGTTGACATGGCCATGCTGACTAGGGCTGATAGGAGTGGTGTAATCTAAAACATCTGAAGGTCACCAGTTTGGTGAAGGGTAAAGTTCTAGGATCAAGGATATCTTAGTAAAATAAGGGACATGTGCCTAACGTGGAAGTTATTCCCTGGACTGCTATGTCCTTTTATGATTTAAAAAAAAAACAATTTACAGTTTTTGGGAAGAACAAGTAGTTCCAGCAATTAATGAACTCTCTGCCTGTTTTTTATTAACACAATGGGCTGCAAACTAGGTGACTAGTGGTAGATTTTTCATAATAATAATGATAATAAATACCAGCCTTGTAAAGCCCAGAGCGAAGGAGGAGGAAATGGATCCAAACATAGTTGGAAATCCAAGGAAAGGAAAAATGCCATCAATAATACCAAGACCACCTCTGCTTCTGTCCTAAGGGTAAGTGACCCTGCATGTAAGTGACTTTATTCCTCCTTTTTACAGGCATATCAGCCTCTCTAGAGAGGCAGGCAATTTGCTGCTATTCCCTTTTACAGCATACAAAAGATACTCCTATCTCATGGCCAGAGCTGAAATAAGGGCACCCAGGAGCATTTTTGTACTCTCACTGGCCTATCCCCTGTCTTCTAGTTGTAT